ATGCTTCAATTCTGTAGAAATCAAATTTTCACTTATACACAGTCATGTTGTAATAGTTTGATATAAATGTTTAACATATTCACATCCACGTAAATATATTCTTGACAATTATCAAGTACCACAGAAGGGCATGATCACAATGATCATTTAAAACTAGACAAAAGTAATCTGAACAAATTTATAGGTCTATATTTATTTAAGATGAGAGATAGTCCATAATTAAATTTACACCCGAAATACTAATATTGTATTTTTTATTTTAATGTTACTATTATTTCATATTCTATAAAATATACCTTATCCCTTAGACTTTTTACTACATTACTCATCTATATCCGAGCAATCATATTTTCCACAGTTCAGCCATAATTGTGCATATATTACGTTTTATGAAGGTACTTTCGAAATGAAAAATGAATAAATGTGTGCCAGAATGGACGATCTCATTTGGACCCACAAACTATTAGTCTTCTACTTAATGAACAACAACCCAGTTCATTAAAATTCAGAATACCTAATATAACCTGAGATGTATATACGTTTGTAATAGAGTAATTAATTCATTATAAAAAGAACATAGCCTATGCTCCAAAGTTTTTTCATTAAAAGCAAACTTGATCTGCACAAGTAATTATAGCATGGAAGAATGATTAAATCTGTTACATTTAAACAAGCATTCAACACATGGATAATGTTTCAGTATGCGCTGTAAGTTTTTAACTTTGTTTATAACATTCATTTTCAACTACGAACTTTCTTTATATTTGTGTAGATACTTTTATTTCCTGTTAATATAACCCTCCAAATTTGAAACGATTGTGGGTCAGAATAAAGTCATTCCTCCTAAAATAAGTAGTTGATTCAACATAATAAATATACTTTAAATTAATCATGTTCTTTTTGCAAAACACCTGAAAGCTAATCAGAACAACTTAATATTTCTTTTGATTAGTTCATTAGTTTTGCTTCATTTCTATCCATTGTGACTACTAAAGTGTGTTTTTCATGAAATAAACACCGAATCAACCGAACCTAGGAGTTTTACTAAAAAATTAGCAAACTTTTGTTCGAAATTGACGAACTTACAGACAATGTATTAATGCATCTCTCATATAAGTGAAATCTTTCAAATATTGGTTAAAGTGCCATGATTTCCGAATTAGCCATGAAACAAACAACTAAAAGGGGCTTTAGTGATGAACCCATTGTAACTTCATCCGTTTATCTATAGAACGTCTATTATCAATTATTGCTATACTGCTGCAATTTTTCATGATTAATTAATTATTATTAAGACCTTAACATCATTAATTCCTTCTTCATATTTGTCCTCTTTGATCCGTAAATGATATTCCTCCTCCATTCATTCCTCCATGAGGGTTGACAGGTGTATGTAAGTAAGTAAATATAGGCTGGACTGTTCAGGTTTATAAGAACCATGTACCTGTTTATATTCGATAATTTTGATGTGATTATATCTCCTTGAAAAAGATTAGACCACCTTGTCGAGTGAAACGTTTGACGTACTTAAAATTTATTTCCTGGGATATTACAAACATATTTTTCCACTTTAATGTTCAAACCCTTCAAGATTTCAAACAAAGAAACGTTAACAGGTTTACCAAAATTATGAAATATAGTTTACTTATTCCTTTGATAAGCCTATCTATTTTATTATATTTTATTATCTAACTTTACTATTTCTTATTTTGCAACATCAAAGTGCATTCTAATTCATTTTATTTAAGCGAAAAAATGTCAAATGAAGCATATCATTATTTCAAGTTAGTTCAATCCCAATACATTTCGATTGAGTATTATACAGTGACAGACATTGTCACATTATGCATTCAATTCATTTTAATTTCACCTTATAAACACTTTAAATTTTTGATTTGCTAATAAAAATAATTATTAATCGTAGGGATTAATAAAATAACGTTCTTCAGGATTACACTAGAGTAATCCTGTTGAACGTTGATAATATGTAATATTTTTAATAGTTGAGATCATGTGTCAATTTAAGCTAGACCGTCATTGAAAATCTGGAAGTACCGGACGGCCATTTCGTTCTGTTGTGTGACTCCTTAGCAGTGCGCATCCACGATCCAGGTCCGTTGTGAAGTAATAACTCACTGATGACAATGGTGCATGTGTCTCTCAAGTTCGTGGATTAGTTGAAGTTATACATTAACACTGTTGGATGTCAACCGACTCAATGGTCTAGAGGTTAAGCATTTGTGCACGAGACTGATAGGTCCTGGGTTCGGATCTCACGAAGCAGGATTGTGGATGTTCACTACTGAGGAGTCCCTCAATATGACAAAACGGTCGTCCAGTGCTTCCAGGTTTTTTTCATGATAATCTAGCTTCAACTGACTCATAATCTCAACCAATAAAAAATTACTACAATATCCACAAAGAAACCCTTCTTATAATACGCGTCTTTTTTAATAGATCAAAACAAATCTTTCCAAAGAATCTATCATACTGACAATATCCCAGTAATAGATTTTCATTTTGAAATCTCTCTACAAATCTTTTATTTATAATGAGATCAAAACTCTAGATAATAAACTATAAACAAGAAAGGATCAAAAAGGACCAATCAAATGATTTTCCTAAAAAAAGAATGCTATTTCTGAATAACATATCGTCTTATTAGAGGGAAACCAATGTATGAAAAGTATTACCTGAAGTTTTTAATAAACTATTATTTTTAAAAAGAAACAAAATATGAATTTATCCGATAGAAATTAAATTTCATTTCTTCCCACTTCAGTAGATAAAGTGAAAGGATTTAAGATAATAGTTTAATAATTAAAATACTTAAATGATATTTTATGTAAATAATGATCTACTGAAAATCCTAGTAAGTAATCTACGACTAGTTATCAACTATTTATGCTTATCTAAATGATTGAATAAACAATAAAATATTCCCTTCTCATTTTTGTACCACTTCAGTTACCTATAGTCCAAAATGAAAGGTTTAATCGAGCTTTTTTACTGGATTTCCAAAAAATATCTTTTGCTTATTCTGTTGTTTTTTTCACGTCATTAAGAACTACACTCATGAAAACATCATTATTGAGTTTAATCTTTAGGTGTGTTACTTAGTCGATCAATAATTGAAAAATGTTATGATGTAAATTATTACCATCGATTCATTGCTTTTTTTTAAACCTAACACTACTACACATATTGTTTTATTGCCAAGATTAGTCCGCTTAACATTAGGATATATGAATTAGTAATTTGTTTCATTAATGCTTATTTTTTTCAACATTATATTGCCATATTAAATGTGCTTATTAGTAGTATTTAACAACTGACAAGATATGCGTATAGAGATAGGCCAATGTTTGAAACTTTCATCAATTCTTCATAGTTCTAGGAGGCATAAATAAATTTTCAGCTTAAATTTTTAGACAAGGTAATTTATTATTGATCGAAATGAATTATCAATCAACGATAGATTTTTTTATTGGTTCTATCTACATATTTGTATATGGGAAATCATGTATTTTATACAAGACTAAGATACTTTAAATGCACTAAATAAAGTCCACATTATGGTTTACTAGTAACGTTCAACATAAGATGTAATTGGAAATAAATTGTTATGATTTAGTTTAAATGAATCACTAGAATATCGAGATAAAATACTGTTATATAACTAGACACACTGTGTTTTGAATTATCGTGATTTCGTAAGCTTAAGTACTAGCCAAAATGTAATATTTCATTATTATTTCGAAATAGCTGAAATGTTTCATTACTAATAATTAAAATTGTAAAGCCGGAAATGTATATATTTACCATGTATATTCCAATAGTTCAATAAAATTACTGCCTGAATTAATAAACTCCTTATTACAAACTAGTTTATGCAACTAATTTATATTTTTGTATCAGAATTTAATCTACGAGTGATCAAAATACTGTATAAGCATTTGATCTCCGGTGATATGCGTTACAGAGTATCAAAGCTTTTGTGAAACATTGGTGTACAAATTAATGCCATTGTCTTACTCATGAATACAATTTGATGTAAATTTAAATATAAATGAAACAGACGGTGAACGTATACCAGAGGGAGGTATTCTGCAAAAATGATCAATCACAGTTTAATAAAGTAGATTTTTCAGTAGTTCAGACCATGAGCCAATTGAAGCTAGACCACCTCGAAAAAGACCGAGAACCACTGGACGGCCGTTTAGTACTAGTATAAAACTCTTCAGCAGTGCGTATCCACGATCCCTCCTCGCGAAATTCGAACCCAGGACATATCGGTCTCGCGCGCAAACGTTTAAACTCTCCATCACTGAACTGGTGTCGCTCAATAGGACAATATGGCTGTCCAGTGCTTCTATATTTTCAATGACGGCCTAGTTTCAACTGACTCACCGTTTCAACTATTGAAATCATTATAATATCCACAAAAACTTCTTCCGATACTAAAGTAGGTTTTATCTATTTGTTTCGTGGGTACTGAAATAAAATTTTGATGAGCGTTCGTCAAACATAAATGATTAAAATGCTACTCATATATTTAACTACAGTTCTGGTAGTACTATAAAACATAAAATTCATGAAATCATTAAAATATATTAAGTTACAGTCCTGTCTTCAAGTTGAAATATAACACTATCATAAAAGTAAATTTCTGTAATGTGTTAATTTTATGTATTTCTAAGATTTATTCAAATCCAACAATGTATTCCACAAATATTTACTTTAGGTAACTATGACTATTATTCAAATTAACTGAATTGTTTAACGAAATTGAGAATCAAGTCAAAGCATTAGTTAATAGGTTAAAACGTTGTTCTCCTACAGTCAAGATGTATAGTTTCAATATATAAACATTTTTCTAATTAATTTATTTTTAACCACATGCTACTCACGATTCTTGGGTTTTACTTTTTTCGACAATAAATTTTTGGTATTGATGTTGCCTAAGGCTTGAATATTACGAAACTATATAATAAATAATTTCACGTGAATCTTAACATCTGATGATGATGATGATGATGATGATGATGATGATGATGATGATGATGATGATGATGATGATGATGATGATGATGATGATGATGATGATGATGATGATGATGATGATGATGATGATGATGATGATGATGATGATGATGATGATGATGATGATGATGATGATGATGATGATGATGATGATGATGATGATGATGATGATGATGATGATGATGATGATGATGATGATGATGATGATGATGATGATGATGATGATGATGATGATGATGATGATGATGATGATGATGATGATGATGATGATGATGATGATGATGATGATGATGATGATGATGATGATGATGATGATGATGATGATGATGATGATGATGATGATGATGATGATGATGATGATGATGATGATGATGATGATGATGATGATGATGATGATGATGATGATGATGATGATGATGATGATGATAAATGATAATATTATGCTTAAATGAAATCTATATTTGTTATATTTTGTTTGAATACATTCTTTGTAAATAGAACAATGTTTTTTTCTAAAACACTCACTAAAATCATCTTTAAGATGACTATATACCATCATTAATCTTCATCAACACTTGATGATGACTCCCATATCACCAGTATAAATCCAAATACTAAATGTCACCCATTGACGTTTTTTTTCAAAATTATTTAAACATCGTATAATTACAAGTAATAAAACTTCTAGTTGTTACTTATTTTATTGATTGAACTACATTTTATTTTCTGTGTAACTATTTCTAAATTCCGTAATTACTGAAACGAGTATTACTTTAAAATTTACATGTTAATCGAATATGTATCAATAAAACAAGTTTTTCTCTTTATAATTTGCATAGTAACACAGTATAACATGATATGCTTTTTCAAACAGATAACAGATATGAATTTTTAATTTTAAAGAAAATCCTGGTTGTTTCTGATGATTTATTTGTAATAAAAAAAGTGGATCAGAGCTTTAATAACTTTCCATGAAATGATCTAATCAACTAGTTGTTGTCAATATACAAAATAAAACATAAAAACGAAATCCAATAGTTGGAGAGTATATTTCAAAATTGTATTTATCAAAGAATGTCATCATCAGTTTAGTTTATGATGTTAAGAGATGAATACATTTTACCTTTTTCATGTTTCATTCATTATTACTGGGTTTTATTTTTATAGGAACTTTGAATAGTATACATGATTTGAATAACCACCTCAAATCATTTAAACATAAAAGAGATTTTACTTTACATTATGAGTGTATCATGTTTTAAAGAAATTTGTACAATTATAGATATAAGCAATGATTTTACTAACAATCAAGTCATATTTTGTGTTGACTAAAGAATTCACATTAGTATTTAAATTCTAAAACATATTCCTTTTAACAGAGTGTTTTGGTTTACAGATAACCATAAACTGTTGGTAGGAATTCCCTGTTCTGATTTAAGCATTAATGTCTATATAAATTACATTAAATTTCATGTTGTATATTTGAAATAACCATTTAAATGTTTCAAATAGAGTATACTTTAACACATAATTAGAATGTATGTTAAATATGATGTTGTATTTAACCACACTTATTAATCTACGTTTATTTCAAACATGGTAAATACGGAAAGATTAGTATGATGAGCAAACACAAAATAATTAATATATAACAAAGTGATTAACTTTTTACACCGTAATTTACTGAATATATTTAGTGTTTGAAGCATTCAAAGCATCATTAGATAACGTTTTCTAAAAACATCTTTGTTAAATAATGGCTTCATAACACTCATCTACAATCTAGAGGGAAGTTAAGAATCAATTAGGTTTACTGAAGGTTTGATTCAAGGACCATGTTTAGTTCACAATCTTCGGGCTTACAGATCATTCTATTGTATTTCTAGCTGTTCAAATTTATCAGGATCGTTAGTATCAGTCATATTACTTGACATAACGTTTTAAAACTTTATTAGCTGACAAGTAATCTTGCATTTATACATGATCGATGGAAACCGTGAAGTTAACTTACAAAATGATAATCAAGTCTTAACTAAAGATTTAATGACTGCTTATTTACAAGAAATTGGAATAACCATAACTGCGATAATATAACTACCCCATTATTTAATTTACACTAGAATTTTCCTTTAAGTGCAAAACTTTGAAAATAAGATTCTACACTTGCATCGTCGAATATATTAGTATTGGTACTTATCAGCTTGCGTGAATAATAAGCAATATGCCGAGAAACGAGAATTAGGTTTTACATATTGAAATTTCCCTTCTAAAGAAAATAAAGGAAAAAAATATTCGGTCATGAGACATAAACAAAACAAACTCTTCATTTTGAATGAACTTGTTGTTACTCTTGTAACGATAAACAATATTGAGTTGTTAATTTGCTTCGTGAAAAAAAAACAATTAACGAATAGCTTATGACGCTTTATCGAATGTACAAGTTGATAGATCACGTCATTGCAATAATGAGTATATGTGCTAAAATGATTCTGAAGACATAATTTCAAACATTTTATCATTATACTATTGGCTGACTCGTAAACTTAAAATGGATTTAGACAGCTTTAGTATAGGTACGAAGTTTATAAGTAAAACATCAAGGATCATTGTCACATTAACATGCTTTTCCGTAGTTTTCATTATACAAAATTATAAGCAAAGGTGAATAGTGGATAGCAGTGGAATCCAGGACGAGTATTGTTCGTTTCAAAGCTACTAAGTTCTGATACTCATTTGTTTGTGAAATGGGATGAAGTTTAAATTCACTTCGTATTGTTTACTTGAATTTCAAGACTGCAATTGATCAGTCTCTTATTGAAATATGTGCATATTGTGCATATTGCCTCGATATTGTCTCAAGTTATAGGCGATTGCGTTTGAAGCGAACGGTCCTGGGTTCGCATCTCGGGGTGAACATCAACCCTGAGATGCAAGTACATCCAGCTGACGAGTCCCAAAGAAAACGAATCGCGAATTCTGGATTTCGCTACTAGCCACTTTCCATCTTTGCTTATAATGCTTGTGAATTAAGACAATATCGAAGTATTCCACAGATGATGCACATAAGCTAATAAGAGACTGGTCAATTACAGTCCTAAACATCAATGGGAAGGCTCAAGTAAATAATACCAAATTTACTTACTCTATAAAATTGTTCAGTTATCTGAATATTTTCTTATTTTTCTCTGTATCCAATAAATGTATCATCGTATATCATAAACTAGAGGAAACTTTAAATCATGACCGTGAACATCCCATTGAGCCAAAAATGCATATCAAAGTTTATTACTTTTCTACGTAGTTTGACTTTGTATAGAAAGCATTATGGTATGAAATTGCGTGAATTACAAATAAAATATGAAGTTTTGATACTGAACATTTTAATATTTAAATGAAATGAATGAAAACTCCATCTTAAGCGAATAAACTGAATACATATGATGTTGTCGATACATTCCATTTGTTCATAATCACTTATATGTTAGAATTAAAAAGGGCATAAATTCAACACATTACCTATTCATAATAGAATTTATTGGTTATAACTCAATAATCACTATGCAACCTTTACATTAAAATGGTATTTTTTTTAAAAAGATACATAAAGCTTTATATTTTTATAGAGAAATTAAATTATTCCAAAACAAAAAGTGTAATTTATTACATAACGATAAAATTCTGCCAAAATTATTGAAAGGTAACTGAATATAAAATTAATTTCTAGTCTGACATTTTGTTTATTCTTTAGTTCTTCTGATTTATTTATACTTGAAAATATTCTAATAAAATTATTCATTATAACTACCCCTGACTAATATTTTACCTAAAGACTATTTCTTCAATAAAAAACAATGAATTAGATGTATCATGATGGTAAACAATCCTTTTTATACTTAACGTTACAATTTACGGGAGAAATAATAAAAAAATACCATTCTACAATAATTCATTTGAAAATTCACTAAAGAAACTGAAGAGATCAAACATAAAAATACGTAAACTGTAACACAACAAATAGAAATATATGAGGAAGGGTTTGTGGAGATTTTAGAGATTTCACAGATTGAAATCATGAGTCAATTGAAGGTAGACCACTATGGAAAACCTGGAAGCACTGGATGGCCGTTTCGTCCTAGTGTGAGACTCCTCAGATTCGAACCCAGGCTCAGTGGTCTAGTTGGTTAAGTGCCTGGCGCGAGACTGATAGGTCCTGGGTTTGAAGCTCGCGAGGTGCGGGATCGTTTATGCGCATTGCTGAGGAGCCACATATTCGGACGAAACGGCCGTCCAGTTCTTCCAGCTTTTCCATGATGGTCTAGCTTCAATTGACTCATGATTTCAATTTGTGAAATAGAAATATAATTGTAAATATTCAAAAAAATGATTAATTAAATTTCAATATTGAATTTCATTTAGTTTAAATGAATCCATAGATTATTTTATTTATTATTTGCATAGAAATTTTTCGACTTAAATTTTAAAATTAACATTAAACTACCGATGAATATTTAATTAATATAAATATAGTGTAAAAGTTTCAGTAAGCTTTATCATATCAGTAATATTGATGTTGGAACATGAATTTATATACAAGTCAGTTATACCTTTTATAAGTACAATAATTACAATTTAGATAAATTATAAAAGATTTTTGAAAGATAATTTAAACTAAATACATTTGAAAATAAATCAGTTTTTGATAGAGTTTTGTTCTCTGAACTGGATAGTTTGATTGTAGAGCTTTTATCGTTCTTTTGAATGACATCATAAACACATGCTTCATTTAGAAGTTTTTAATAGCTAAACTAATGAAAACATACATGAGATGGTGGAGAAGATTTGTAGCTCAGGTGGATGATTTTGGTGGAGTTTTGTTCTCTGAGCTGGATGGTTTGGTCGTGTTTTAGTGGTTGTTTTGACAAATTGATCACGCAGTTGTTTGTGTTTTCTTCCATGGGTGGTTTTGAGATCCTGATCAGTTTTTTCTTTAAGGCGTTTCTTCTTTGTTCTCTGTGTTTTTTGCATGATATCTCGATGGCTGTTGTCAAGATTTCCAAATGTTCTGACGTAAGTGTCCTTTGTAGCTTCATCTTTTGGTCTTCTATGACGTGTTGGTATTTGCGGATTCTGTAGTGTGCATCCGTTATCATTAGGTGTACCATTTTTCTTCCACTTTGCTCAGCTATTTTCCATCCTAATGGGCAGTTGATTGGAGGTCTATATCTTACACTCGTTGGTAGAACATGCTGGCGAAGACACTCATGGAGAAAATATAGTTGTTCTCGAGTGGAAGCCTGCCTTTTGGCGAAATTCTCTCATTTTCGAACAACGAGAAGCGCATTACGCTCATATGATTTTGAGATAGTGGAGAAGATTTGTAGCTCAGGTGGATGATTTTGGTGGAGTTTTGTTCTCTGAGCTGACCACGACCAAACCATCCAGCTCAGAGAACAAAACTCCACCAAAAACATATATATATATATATATATATATATATATATATATATATATATATATATATATATATATATATA